CCACTGACTATAGATATATAAAATTTTTCATTACTGGGCCTTCTAATACGCCCATTAAATAATGAAATTTGGATATCATATCAATTTCGGGATTCTCGTGTATAAGTGTTTTAAATGTTTCGTAAAACAGCGGCCATTTTTTTAAATCACCCGCAAATTTGGGTATTTCAATTGTTGGTAGACGGCATTTTGAAATAAATTTAGATGGGGAATCTTCACTTTTTATAAAAGAGGAAGTATTATTTACAGCAGAAATAGTTTTTTCAATATATTTTATCTCCGCGTATAATTGTTCCACGGAAGAAGGGCAGCATAATCCGGTAAGAAATGGGATTTTCCAACGCGTTTAATTTATTAATATGGTCGGTAAGTTTTATGAATTGATCTCGAATGTTATCTAACATTACCAGGTTCGTACAGAATTGTTGCTCTGCTTGACGCATCTTCCACATCTCTGCTCAAGTCATACGTCTTCTGTATAATCGAAAAATACATTTCTCGTTTTGAAATTAGTCGTGCGACTTCAGCACTGGCAGATACACTCTTGGGCGGCATGTTTATGATTATATAAGAAACTTGGAAATATAATAATCTTACGTCGTTATCCGGTAAATGAAAATATATATATACTTTTAAATTAGTACTTAGATTCTGAATCGGCAACTTGTAGAAACTCTCAATCTTAATTGAGATCCGGCTCGAATGGTGTGGCCTTGATTCGATTAGCAGACCACACGGATGGCTGGTATTCTTGGACTGTATATGGACTGTATTTGAAACTAAAAAACGTTCTGTTTCTTATAATGAGAAACTAAAAAATGACCTCACTTTAAATGATAAAAGGAAACTTAACACAATAAAGCTTCTAAATTAAACCAAAGAAGGAAGCAAACTGAATACGAATTGAATACGGAACTGGAAACGCACTAGAACGAAACAGAACTAGGAATCAACTAGAATAGACTGACCACATGTCGGAAGTCTAGGTCAAAGTTTTGGAAGGAAGGAGACTGGATTAGAATGGAATAAATCGGTTGACATATTGCGACCCCGAGATGGCGACTTTATTATTATCGACTCATGTAATAGTCATAGTAGCGTCACCACCTTTATTTTTACTGAATGATATATGCTTTATAAATCTAGCTTAAAACTAATTGATGCACAATATTTTGACCAAATCCTCTTTGGTCAACATATAATTACCTGTGTAAAAAACATTGATTTTCTAATTCAAGTCCGAAAACGGGCATTGTTTGCCCCTGAGCCTTGGTGATAGTCATCGCAAATGCCAATCATACTTCTCATTTAAAACTTTCTTGCGGTACATGGCTTCTGTTTTATTTCTTAAGTTCATTGCCTGAAAATATTGGGGCATGTTTGATGCCTTCGATAATCTTGGGCTTTGATATTAACACAATCTGTTGCAGGCTGTAATATTAACACATTTTATTCATTGTAGTTTTCTGCTTGATGAATTTACTATCAAACACTTCTATGGTTTAATACTTACATGGTTTTTTTCAATAGACTCAATAGTGCACCATCAATACAATTACCTTAATTAATAATAATCAGAATCAACTGCACGTTAATCATCCATAGTAGTCATTTGAAGAATTTTACCACTGTGCTTTATTAGATTTAGTTATTATTAGAGTTAGTTGCTGTTAGGACAATGATGAATTTTGTTATAATGCCTGATTTGTATCGTGTAATAAAATGACGCTGTTCAATATATGAACATATATACCATGAATCGTAATATTCTCTGCTAAAACTTTTCTTCAATAAGCAGAATGATCTTCAAGCAAATTTGATTTTATAAACGCTTCCATTAATAAACACCAATAATGATGCAGTGTTACCAAGTACCAACCGTCACTATATCTCATAGAAACGCATGGAATCGTTCATTCATTCGTTGCATTCCTTGCTGTATTGTCTTTGGTCTAGAGTTGTAGACTCTCGACAGAATTCAAACTATGGTAAAATGTCAAAATATTTTTTAATTAAATAATATAAATTTCGGCTATTTATTGAGATTTTTAATATACCCTATGTCCTAAATGGGATCTATGTGCACATGGTGAGCAAAGCAAATTTTAAATCGGTTCAGGCGTTTTCATGAGGACAACGCCTGTGACACTAAATTTATATAAATTAAGATATTATTATGGCTCTCCTGTTTTGCTCTCTTTGCAGTCTTTGTTTCCCAAAGCGAAACCATTCTACAGCTATTTGAACAAAATTAGCTTTAGTAAATCCAGGAGTGTTGTAATTATTGTCTAAAATAAAACCGAACAGGGATTAGAAACATTAATTGAAATAATTATAGCTAAATTACCTTTAAAAACTTTCATTGTTTTCAGTTTGTTTACTGGCATATTACTTTTTCGGCCATACCAGGAACATACCACGAACATACATATTTTCTGCAGAAGTTATTTCACCAATTTTTCTAACATAGCTTTTCTAAAAACAAAACATTAAAACATAATTACTACCAAATTATTCTATTTCAATATCTCTCAAGATGCAATTATAGTTTACCAATTCTGCGACATATGATTCATTTTTTTTTTAATTCTTCACAGCATGTAATATCGTCTTCGGCACCAAGCGGAAATAAGGAATCGAAAACATTACCATGTTGATTAGATGTCAATGTAGAACAACTTGAATTGTGAAGTAATTGGTCCATTTTGGTATTCAAAATGGCAAGCTCCCTTACAAATTAACCATCAGGTTTTTTACTCTTTTGGGATTTTGATGAAACTTCGCATAGTTGTAGAGTTGATGGACAAACCGAACACCTTTAAATATAAGAGTCCTATGGGAAGCGGTTTAATTAAAAAAAATTAAATAAAAATTGAATAAAAACTAAAGCTCTAGTAGTACGTTTTGGCCAATTCAGTTAATGATCGAGGAAGATTTTTTTTTTTGTAATAGATTTATTTAGCAATCAGAAAACTACAATTTTTCTATAAGCTAAACTGCGAACTATGTGGGTGTTAAAATAAGATAGGATCCACAGATCTATATTACATTATGTTACTTAATATATTATATACAGTAGACCCTCGCTTTACACGGCACTCTGGGTACGCGGTTCCCATACTACACGGAGCTAAAAATCCGACATCCCTCCGACTACACGGACTTTTTATTACACGGTATTTGGTCAACAGCCCATAAGTTCGTTGTGCAACCTATGAGTGATTCTAGTAACTTGATATCAAAAGGATATTAATGTAAGTTTTCTTATCCACTTTTAAATTTTAGACATGCTTGATTATATAATAGCTGTGTACTGCATTGGGTTTTATTGTCTAAGAATACGTTTGAATAAGTATTGATAAAAAAAAATCTGAACCGACATGTCTGAAGAAACTAGGAAAGGCCTCAAGAGGAGGTGTATATCGCTTGAAAATAAAATTGAAATTATAAATCGGTTAAAAGATGGTGAAAAATTATCGGCTATTGCCAAATCAACAAATTTAAATGAATCAACCATTCGAACCATAAATAAAAATGCTGATCATATAAGGAAAACTGTGGCAGATGGGTGTCCTTCAGTTGCAAAACGTGTCACTCGCACGCGACCATCTATTATGGTGAGAATGGAACGAGGATTGATGATTTGGTTAGAAGATTGTATAGCTAAAAGAATTCCTATAAGTGGAAATCTTATAAAACAGAAAGCTCTTAAAATTTATAATCACTTAAAGAATAACGGACCTTCACTACATAACCATTCGTTTGCCGCGAGTAAAGGATGGTTTGACAAATTTAAAAAACGGCATGCCTTGCATAATATAAAATTTCAAGGCGAGCAGGCATCAGCAGATTCAGAGGCTGCCGAAAATTTTAAGCTGAAACTTGCTAGAATTATTAATGAGGGAGGTTATTCACCTGAGCAGATATTCAATGCTGATGAGACGGCTTTGTATTGGAAAAAACTTCCATCAAGGACTTTTATTTCCAAAGATCAAAGGCGTGCTCAGGGGTTTAAACTTTCCAAACAACGAATTACTCTTCATCTGTGCAGCAATCTATCCGGGAACATGATTATGAAACCGATGATAATAAATTCTTCTTCAACTCCGCGTGCACTAAAAAACATGAATAAGACACGATTGCCTGTATTCTGGCGATCAATAAGAAGGCCTGGATGAGTCAAGATTTATTTAAGGATTGGTTCTATAATTGTTTCATCCCGGCTGTGGAAATCTATATGATAGAAAAAAATTTGCATTTTAAAGTTATATTGCTTCTTGACAACGCTGGTTGCCACAATATACAGCTAGACCATCCAAATGTGAAAATAGTCTTTCTTCCTCCTAACTGCACATCATTAATACAACCTTTGGATCAAGGAATTATTCAAACTTTAAAAATGTACTACACACGTCGATTTTTTCAAACAATTTTTGACAGACTAGAAAATAGTAATAAAACTCTTATTGAAGTGTGGACTGAATTTTCTATTTTAGATTGTATTACAGCTTTATCGTCGGTTTGCGAGGAAATTAAACCATCAACGCTTAACTCGTGTTGGAAGCCTCTTTTACCTGAAATAGTTCACACAATGCAAGATGATTCTACAATTTCACTCCCAGCTGCAGAAATAATAAATATGGCTTCCCGCTTATGCGATGACGCCTTTGAAGTAAATATCGACGACGTACGACAACTTGTTCTCGAGGAAGAAACTTTGGATGAGGAGGAATTGATAGAATTAATTGATGGGCCTGCCTCAAATACATTGGTAAATGAAACAGATGAAATCGAATGGATTCCACATCTCGATATACAAGATGTAGAAAAAGGATTTAAATTGGCGAAAGAATTGGAACTTCATTTTATTCAAGCAGATAATTCAACAATGCGAAGTGCAAAATTTAAAAGAGAGTTAAACAGTTGTTTAGCTCCCTATAGAGAAGTTTTACAAGAATTGAAAAAATAAACAATCACAAAAACACATGTGAAAAAGAAGCATGAAAAAAATCATTTTGCCAATTAAAAGTAGACAAGTCACATGTGACAGCGAAGGCGATGGGAGTTGAAAAAATTTATGATTTTACCAAAGTCTTACTTGTTTATATTGGAAAACATTTTAATTTATTTAGTTTAGTATTTTTTATATTGTTTTTTTTTTATTTTGTTAAATAAAAGTACTGTATGATTCATCTTGTTTTCCATCTTACCGAAGGAGATGTTTATGATCTGTTTTATGTTTTCTCGACGGTTCAAGTCATTATGAATTGTTTGAGACTAAAATAAGAAAATGTGTATGTGTGTATGTACATATGGGCAAAGATTTAATCCGTCGTCGGCGTTTCCTCAGAAACGGCAGCACCGATAAAAACAAAAGTCGTTTGATACTTCATAAAAACTCGCGTTTACTACAAATATGTACCATTTTGTCTTACATCCATATACGGTAAAGGCATATTGAAACACTATTTTTTCACAATTAAATTGTTTGGTCATCTTACCGAAGGAGATGTTTATGATCTGTTTTATGTTTTCTCGACGGTTCAAGTCATTATGAATTGTTTGAGACTAAAATAAGAAAATGTGTATGTGTGTATGTACATATGGGCAAAGATTTAATCCGTCGTCGGCGTTTCCTCAGAAACGGCAGCACCGATAAAAACAAAAGTCGTTTGATACTTCATAAAAACTCGCGTTTACTACAAATATGTACCATTTTGTCTTACATCCATATACGGTAAAGGCATATTGAAACACTATTTTTTCACAATTAAATTGTTTGGTCCACTTTGGGACATCAGCACATGACGCATGAGCCCAAAGGGAACAAGTCATACATCGTACCGGGAATATAAGAATAGGAAAAATTTACAATAAATGAAAGTCTCCAAAGTTATGAAAGAAGTTATGAAAATATGTAATAACCATATTTTACAAGTTTATTTTTATTTTTGACCTCTAATGAATCATCATGTATCGTTTCCAAATTAATACTTTGTCATCTTGTCTATTCTATATCATTTTGTCCAAAAGTGAACGTGAATAAATAAATGATCAAAATTCAATCAAACACCTGTTTATTACGATAAAATTAATAGAAATTATTAGTACCTACTGACATAAGTTTATTCATTTTAATAAAATTAATTATAAAAAATAATAAATAAGTCTCCAAAAACACATCCATAAAATAAACTTTGGAAGGTGCGAACATGTTTGAATTGACTACTGCGTCGCGCCAATTTTTGAATAAGTTGTCTATGTCATACATGTCATTTCGTCCGTATTGCACCTACTTCAAGTTGTATTCCTGGGTCTCCATACAGCACGATAAAAATGATGCGATTTGTACTAACTCCGAGTCTCGCATAGCATGGTTCCCATACTGCACTATGTAAGGTTCCATAGAACGCACGACGAATTAGCCTGAATTGTATGTTAAATACGAGTTTCTTATAGCACGGTCTCCATATTGCACGGTACGCACTTGCCGCGTAAAGCGAGGGTCTACTGTATATATATATATATATATATATATATATATATATATATATAACTAATGATTGTACTTAAATACTATGTAAAGGCCACTTTCTCTTCAATCTTGAGTTTTGTTGAGGGCGCAGTAAATCCTTTATCGATTCATTTGGGTGCATCTCCAATCTGTTACGGTATTTTGATGATAGTTCCTTTATATGTTTCGTGCACAGTCAGCATTTTTAGGTCGCCATAGACAATTTTGATTAGTGACATACCAGGGTGAGTTGAGGATGGCTCTTAAGATTTTAGTTTGTGTTCTCTGCACAATTTCCAGATTAGATTTAAAGGCGCATCCCCACAGCTCTAGACCATAGGTCCATATTGGCTTAATGATGGCCTTGTACAGCAGTAGTTTGTTTTCGACGGATAGTTTGGACTGTCTGCTAAGTAACCAGTTCATCCCCTTCATTTTTAGTAGAATTTGTTCCTTTTTCTTTTTTATATGTTCTTTCCACGTGAGTCTTCTGTCTAGACTCTAGATGGAGTCCCAGATATTTTACTACTTGTACTTGTCGGATCATGATGTTGTTTAAATATACAGAAGGACAAATTTTTTGACACAACGTGAATGTTATGTGCGCAGATTTTGATTCGTTAATCCGTATGTACCATTTGTTTAGCCATTTCTCTAATATGTAGATATAATTTTGAGTCAGTTGAGATGCTAATAGAGGATTTTTATTTCTGAATAAGATAGCAGTGTCGTCTGCAAATGTAGCTATAATAGAGTTAGGAGGTATTGGTATATCTATTGTGAATAATACATATAATAATGGTCCCAGGATGCTACCCTGCGGGACACCTGACCCTATTTTACAGAAATCTGTTCAACGTTCACTCTAATCTGGAATGATCTGTTTTCTAAATATGATTTTATATAACAACCCAGGATGCCATACCTTATCAAAGGCCTGACGAACGTCCAAGAAAATGACACTGCAATATTCCTTTTGTTCAAATGTTTTATTAATATTTTCAACAATTCTATGGATTTGTTGAGTCGTTGAGTGTTTATGTCTGAACCCGAACTGATGTGGCGGCATCCAATTGTCTATCGGCAAATCATATTTAATTTTATTATATATTATTTTTTCCAGTATTTTGGGGCAATTGTGGGGCAGTGCTCATAAGACTAATATAGAAATTATACCGAAATTTCAAAATAAATTTTTGAAAATTGCCTTAGGAGCTCCAAAATATATTCCCAACTGGTTGATTCATGCCGATACGAATACACCTACCATTAATGAAGTAATAACAAAAACAGCGCAGAAGTATAGAAACAAGCTAATCAATCACCCAAATACATTAGCAAACTCAATGATAACAGAGAACTATCGAAGAAGATTGAAAAGAAAAGCGCCGTTGGATCTAAGCCATCAACCCTTTTGAAAAAAAAAATAGAAATAACTTAATCATTATTGATAAGTAATTATTCAATAATAAAATATTGTGAATTTTATATAGAAAGGAAAAACAACTACTGAGTTGTTTTTTCCAACATGACAATGTCCCTTCTCGGCGGACTATTGTAAATTCATTAAATTTACTAAATGTCCTTTACTGGACAGTTGTAAATAAAAGAGTTAATAAAAAAAAAATTGGAAATTATAGGAAGCAAGCTGATAGGTCTGTATGACGAAACATCCGTTGGATTTTTACATGGTTTGAGTATCATTATAATTTATGCCTTCTTAAAGTGGTTTGGCCAGTAACCAATCCTGAGTATAGCGTTGAATATATATGTAATTGCAATAATTGTTTTCCTTGGAATTTCTTTAATGATTTTGCCACCTATTAAATCATAGCCCGGAGACATTTTTGCTTTTAGATTATTTATTTCATAGCTGACTTCCTTCGGTTTAACAGGGGTTTTAGCTTCCACCATTTCTATTGATTTATGTAATTCTTTCGCTATTTCAGTATCCATAGAATTGTCGAAAGGCAGAAATACTGAGGTTAAATGTTTGACAAAAAGCAGTGCCTTTTCGAGATCACTTATTGCCAAGGTTTATTTATATCTTCTCTAATTGGTGGTGCTGGAATTTTTGGTTTTTTATTATTCCGAATTGGCTGCTAGATAGTATTGTCCGTTTTAGACAGGCTTAAAATATATATTTCAAAATTTTCGGAAGTGGCTAGTTTTAATTTTGCTTTGAGCAATCGGCATAATTTATTAAATTGAGTTTTGTCTTCTGGCTTGTGATAACGTTGCCATTTTGCTCTTGCCCTCCTTTTCTCCTGTATTAGATTTTTTATTTCCAGCGGGATATCTTGCACTTCACGAAAATGTAATTCTGGAGTTGCTTGTACCACTGAATCCTGAATGTTAAGAATTAAGTCGTATATTGATTTATCGATATCTTCTTCATTTTTCAATCGCATTTTAAGATTTGTTCGTTCATTTAGTGTGTTGCGGAATTTTTCCCAATTTGTGAATTTATTATGAAGCATTCTGTTGTTTTTTATAGGTATTGGTGCAACTCCTATTGTTAGAATGATTGGAGAATGGTCAGATGATAAATCAAAAGATGGTTTTATTTCAATATTCTTTGTAATAAAAAAAAACGAGCAGTATGTTGAGCTTCCAGTTGATATGTAAGAGAGATTGTTTTCATCTATTGCATTTAATAATTCCTTGCCTCTAGACGTAATTAATCGAGAACCCCATCTTGTATGTTTGCAATTGTAATCTCCTCCTACAATAAATTTTGGGCCTAGTTGTGAAAGAGCATTTTCGAAATCATTCTGTTTAATTTTATGTCGTGGCGGACAGTAAACCGCTGACAATGTTATGTTATACGACTGCAACTTGACTTTTAATGAGGTTGCCTGCAGGAGATCATATTGATAAACTGGTAAAGGATAGTGGTCAATTGTGTTTTTAATTAATATAGCTGTTCCACCATGAGCTGTACCACCAGGATGATTGCAGTGTTGCATCGTGTAACCAGGTGTTTTAAAATATGAAAAATCTGTGAAATGCGTTTCACTAATTAATAAAATGTCTATTTGGTTAATTTTTAAAAATGTAATTATTTCCAATATATGTTGAATGATTCCGTGAGCGTTCCACAGTGCAATTCTTAAAAATTTAGCCATTAGTATTGTCTTTTATTTACTAAGGTTGTAAGGATACTGAGCACCATAGTGTTTTGTTGAAACAGTTGATTAAACATATTTTTAAATTCTACAAGAAAAGCTGTAAAGTTCGGATCTGAACTTGTTATGTTTTCAGTACTGTTGTTATTGTTTAGTACCTGGGAGTAGGTTCGGTTATGACCTTGATGTGAATTAGACATTGTGTTGTTAGAGCGAGAAGTGGCGTGAATTTTTGATTGTATAGTTTTTGATAAATTGGGCACCCGCAATAATGAGCACTGTGCTCCATAGAGCAGTGATAACAGCGGTTCGGTGCGTCGTTCGATT